AAGCTGCAGCAACGCGCAAACAGAGGCCAGGGGCCACTGAGGGTCGGGCACCATGAATTTCGCCCCAAAGCCCTCCAACTGCACCTCGGTATGGTGCAGCCCTAAAACCTAAACCCTGAACCCTAAGCCCTAAGCTCTCAACCTTACAAACCCTAAACCCTAAACCCTAAACCTAAACCCTCAGAAGTCTCAGAAAAAGCTTCTGAGGTATTAGGGCTTGGAAGGTCGCTTTGCGCGCAGAGCGCCAGCGTCTTGCAGCTGGTACATGCTTTTGCTTCCGCAGAACCCTAAGCCCTTTTGCAACTGGACTGTCAGCCTAGACCCCCTTTTTGAACCCAGGCTCTGCACTAAATCAGCTTCAACCCTAAACCCCGAACCCTGAACCCTGAACCCTAAGCCGAAGCCCTTAACCCTAAACCCTGAACCCCAAAGCAAAAAAAGAGCTAAGCCACTGGCCATCAAATGGGAGCGGCTCTGGCGCTCGGCAAAGAAGGCCTCCTGGGATTTTCATGGCTTTCGGCACAGCACCACCCCTCGGGCCCCACCACCCACCCGAAACCTACGCCCAACAAACCCCAAACCCTACAAACCGTAAACCCCAAACCCAACCCTTTGCACAGGCTTGTCTCAGCGCGCCTGGTCGAGCTCGTCGCTCTCGTGGCAACACGCTCAGTCTGAATGTTGAACTAAGGAAATCATCTTACGAGCTATACGCGGGGGCACACTGTTGAAAGAACAAACATATCGATGACTGGAATAGATGCTATCATGGAGTTCAAGCAAGACGTCGCCCTGACTTTGGAGGAGATCTTCATGCATATGGAAATCCAGAAGCAAACCCAAAAACTCCAACTGGATCCATTGCACCCAGGTGATAATTACGTGTTCCAGCGTGCCAGTCCGCGAGAAGGTTTGAAAACCCTCCGACACATGGAGCCAGTGAATGCTGTAGGCGTCCCCCACGCACCGCACGAACACCCCGAGCCGCCAGGGAACCTCTAGTCTGAAAACATCTCGCCAACGATTCGTGGAAATAGCATGTAGAACTGGGTGTACATGTAGAAAGGCTTGCTTACGACTGTCAAAGTCTGCAATCCACGCCTCCCTATCCTGCGCCAATGCTGTGAGCGCAGCGGTGTCCCTGCCGCTTGTGGTGCAACCCCATCGCAGGATGTGGTGTAGAGGTCCCGGATGCGCTTGCTTGAGACTGCTCATTGAAAGGACCTCTTGCCGAACTAGCGCGGACTCCTTCATCCGCAACACATGCCCCAGATACGACCACTTGCGTTTACACCAAATGGCAACCCATTGCTTCTCGGGCTCGTGAGCCAGGACCTGCAACACAGTTCGCCGTCGGACCCGGTGCAGGAAGACTGCTGCTTCTTTGCCCAGGCACTCTGGAATGTTGAGACCGAAGAGTTGGGTCAAAAAAGTTACCTGTTGAGACTGGACCCTGGAAACATACTTAACAAGAGGTTCCATCAAGGGGGCGTACCAGTACCAGGTACCACCAATACCCAAACCCAACCCTAAACCCTAAACCCTAAACCCTAAACCCTAAACCCTAAACCCTAAACCCTAAACCCTAAACCCTAAACCCTAAACCCTAAACCCTAAACCCTGAACCCTGAACCCTGAACCCTGAACCCTGAACCCTGAACCCTGAACCTCAAAAGCCCTCGCCAGCCGAAACCCGAACCCTGGCTGCCTCGGTGCCAAACTGGAATCAGGGCCGAAATCGGGAGCCCGTGGCACTCCGGGGTCTTAGAGTACCTTGGGTACGTATAAGATTTCAGGGCTTGAGGGGCCTAAACTCCTACACTCCTAAGCTCCTACACTCCTACACCCTAAGCCCTAAATGCTAAACCCCTAACCCTAAACCCTAAACCCTAAACCCTAAACCCTAAGCCCTAAGCCCTAAGCCCTAAACCCTAAACCCTAAACCCTAAACCCTGTCTGTTCTCTTTTTTTGGCAGTGGCTCCTTGCTGCGATTTCGCAGCCCCGGGTCAAAGTCGAAGCCCTTGCGGAATTAGGGTTTAGGGTTTAGGGTTGAATTGAGGGTTTACGGTTTGGAGCTCTGAGCAATACTTTATGAGTTAGGGCTCTTCAGGCTCAAGGATTGGCAGGCTTGCTGTTTCTCACAGGCTGGGGCAGATTCAGGATTTTGGCTGGCGACTTTACCCTAAACCCTAAACCCTTTTTTTAACCACGGACTGAGGCTGCCGTAAACCCTAAACCCTAAACCCCAAACCTAAACCCTAAACCCTAAACTTCCAGTGGCCAATTCACTAGGTGAGCTCGCCAGTTCCTAGAACCCTTGAGGAACCCAGGGCTTATTCCTGTGAACAGCAGGCGGCATTATGCCAAACACCCTAGACGCCAAAGTCGAAGTGCAGGGGACAACCTGGGGGGCCATGACGGGATGCCTTTACAGGGTTTTAGGGAAACCCTAAACCCTAAACCCTAAACCCCAAACCCCAAACCCCAAACACCAAACCCTAAACCCTAAACCCTAAACCCTAAACCCTAAACCCTAAACCCTAATCCCTACCCAGGCCTGGTAGAGGGCAAGACTCAGGTCCTCGCAGTTCACGACAATCGACAGTTTCGGAGGTGGCGCCTGCCCAAAGGATGGGTTGAAGGGTTTAGGGTTCAGGGTTTAGGGTTTGCGGTTTTAAGGGTTGAAGGGTTGAGGGACCAGAAGCATCCCAAGATTTGCTAAGCTGGGCCCTTTCAAAGGCCCTGAAGCATGAACCCTTCCCCCCCCCCCCCCCCCCCCCCCCCCAAACCCTAAGCAGTAAACATCCCTGCAGCCCCTGAGGAGAAAAGCAAGCCTGAGCCCCTATAAACTCTAGACCCTAAAACCCTGAACCCTTACAGCCTTAAACCCTTTGACTTTGCCGAAGCGGGGGGCTTTACTGGGGGGGTTTAGGGTTTAGGGTTCAGTGGCTCGGGTTTTCAGGTTTAGGGTTAGGGTTTAGGGTTTCGGGCTTAGGGTTTAGTTGGCTGTTGACATAACACCGCGCACAACACCCCGTGGCTGAGGGCCGCACAGACGTTGGCGCATCGAACCTGATGCAGGACGTCTTCTGAGTCTTCCCCTACCAGTCGAAAAGATTCTAAGTTCAGTGGGATGCCCGGCACTTCTTTCAAAGATCCTGTGACATATGGGGGTTTTTCGAAATTCGGGGGGGGAGGAGGGGGGGGGACCTTATTGGCTTCATTACTATAAGGGAATCCTACCATTCTTGGTCTATATTCGGGGGTCCCCTATTCTCGTAAACCCCCCCCATATGCAGCCTGAGCGTGCCGAACGAAGGAGCCAGTCCCAAACTTAGTCCCGGTTCAGGGTTTAGGGCTTCACCTCCCTGGCAGCCGACCCAGAGAGCCCCAAACCGACCTTTTTTTTAATGGGTTCTTGGCACCAAAACCCCCTTAGACCCTACACCCTTACTCCTAAACCCTTGTAGGATTCTTAGGCAAACGACGAACAAAAGTAGTTCTTGGGGGTCCTTAAGGTATGATGCCCAGGAGGCTGAGACCTTGTCATGCCTCTTGGGTTTAGCTGGAGGTTTCATGGAGGGTCCTAAAGTGAGGTTGAGGGCTTAGGGCTTAGGGCTTAGGGCTTAGGGCTTCGGGGGGCTTCGGGTTTAGGGTTTAGGGTTTAGGGTTTGTTCGAAGTGGGGCAACTATGGCCATATCCTGTGTTGGCCTACTTATAACCCTACTCCACTTCCAAGTGGGGTTCAGGGTGTTTATGACCCATAAACCCGAATCTGCCCTAAACCCCAAAACCCCATATGTGTCTTCGAGCCCCGGGCTCTCGAAAGCGGGCACCCATCCCGCGCACGAAGTGGTCCTGCTTCTCAGGCCCCCACCCCCCCCTGCCCCCCCGAGTAACCTGAGAAAAAAGGGTGCCCTTGTCTATTTAACCCTAAAGCCTAAACCCTAAACCCTAAGGGTTACGGGCTTAGGGCCAAGGGTGAGGAAATCCTAAAATCCCGCCACGCGCGCCAAAGTTGTGTAATCCTGCATTCAGTGCATCGCGCTTGGGGATTGGGCGTCTTCAATGGCCTGAAGAATCAAGTGTCCAGACGGCCTTCCTTCCATGATGGGGGTCAAAAAGGCTTCGGGTTTAGGGTCTGGGGCCAAACTCTGTTGTTCTAAGGGCACTGTGAGGGTGGCGAGGTTGGACTGGGATAGAATCTGGGATGGTGGATTGAGATTTACCTCTCCACCCTGAACCCTCAACCCCTCAACCCCTCAACCCCTCAACCCCTCAACCCCTCAACCCTAAACCCTATACCCTATACCCTAAACCCTACACCCCAAACCCCGGCTGGCACGGAGGGCGAGTCTTAGGCAGCGCTTTGAAGCTGCTGGGCTTGGCACCCTGAAACCCTAAACCCTAAACCCTAAACCCTAAACCCTAAACCCTAAACCCTAAGGAGACATGACTAGGTTGACCTAGGATGACAAAGGGTGCACTTTTTTTGGCGTACGGAGCTTGTAAGGGAACCCGGACCCCGCGAGAAAGGGCAACTAAGGGTAGTGCTGGGCATCCTGGTATACTTTGACCAATTTTCAAGAGCGACATGTTCCTGCAGGTTACTCTCGGGAACCCTGCTCCCTAAACCCTAAACCCCAAACCCCAAACCCTAAACCCTAAACTAAGGGTGGTCATGCCAGGGGCCCGGCCCGGCGTGCTTCTTTTTTGTGGGCTCTCGCTGCCGGATCAGGTCACCAAAACTTACGCGAAGCCCTAAACCCTAATCCCTAATCCCAAAACCCTAAATCCTAAACCCTAAACCCTAAACCCTAAACCGAAACCCTAATTTGCCTGAGACTGCCGTGCCTGTGTTTGATCGAAGTTTAGGGGTTCGGGGTTAGGGTGGGTGTTACGGCTTAGGGTTTGTAATTAGGACATATAGGGCTTGTAGGGTTTTTGAGGTTCATCGGCTTTTTTCATGGTGCATGCCTAGCTACTGGTGCACTCAAATCAGTACTCCATCTCTTTGGCGATGCGCAGGGGCTTCAGCTCACCATCTGGCGTGTTGGGGTTCAGGGGGATTTGGGGATGAATATCCTAGCACAACAAAAAGTTAACCTTTAGCATATAGTAGGATGCTGTATAACCAATCAGGTAAAAGGTTACCTACCCAGTCCCTAAGGGGGTTTGGGTATTAGGCTAAACCCTAAACCCTAAACGCTTTATAAACCCTAAACCCTAAACCCTAAACCCTAAACCCTAAACCCTAAACCCACTGACCCTTCAACTCTACAAAGCAGTCCTTGATGTGGCTCTGCAGCTCTAAGTCCGTGGTTCAGTCATTTTACGACTACGTGCTTCAGAACCCCAAAAGAACAAAAAAAACCAATCCCTATCTTACCCTTAATAATCAAGAATATTGCCTATTTTCCCATAATAATCAAGAACATTGCTCATTTTGTCGGGGTTCTTGAGCAACATTAAATAGTAGTTTAGGGGTTCTTAGGCAACATAGTAGTTTAGGGGTTCAGGTGGTCTGAGCAGTATGGGCGGTGCAGGGGGCCCATTATCTCGCTGCGGGCTTGGAGCTTCGATTTCCTGAGCAGCTTGTGAGCCCCCGAAGTTGTAGGGTTTAGGGTTTAGGGTTTAGGGTGGACGCAGGGCTCTACGGAGGTGTGGCCGAGGCTTTTCCACTCGAAGAAGGGTCGCGCCTGTCAACGGTGCCGTCTCGAGAATCCACTGCAATGTACCTGCAGGAACTGGAAGGCTCAGTATATGTCTTTTGGCGATGTGGATACGACACAGTTCAAGCGCAAGGCTTCCAAGGGGCAATTCGTAAGGTTACTTACTTTAACCCCTCCGAGGGCACAATGACTTGATCCCTGGATGTATCAAAGGGAAGATAGAAAAGCGCCCACACGACTGACCGATGTCTTTTCGAAACCATGCCTCGAAGCCGCCAGTCCCTAAGCCAAAACCCTACTGGAAGACTCAGTGGTACTTATCATCGTAGGGTGGTAAGTAGTCCGAAGCCCATGGACCTTCAAGCCACCCCAGGTTCCTGGTCCCCCCCCCCCGCCCCCTCCCACTGCAAGGCCCTGATACTGGGTTGGCCCTTTGAGCCCTCTGAAAAATGTTGTAAAAAATGTTGTAAAACATGATCTTCTTAAACCCCTTTTTTTCTGAACCCAGACTCCTGAAGTCAGCCTCTTAAACCCTAAGCCCCAAACCCAGGGAAAACATAACATATCCCTAGGCGCCCCAGGGGCACGTTTCTTCCGACGGCCTTCCCGCACGTAGTCGTTGAACATCAGCGCCTCGGGTTCAGAACCCTAAACCCTAAACCCTAAACCCTAAACCCTACAGACCCGGAAGTCCTACTCGGAGGTGCATGGTACTAACCAACAATAGCTGTACTTGTAACAGTACTTATTGAGGGGCTTATAAATGGGTTAGAAGTAAAGTTATAAGTGAAACCTCCAAGTATAGGCTTAGAGTCAAGGGATTAAGACTCGTAGCCTTAAGGTTGTCCCCCTGAAGGTTTTCCTATATACACTCCTCACATGGCCCTTTATATTCTTTAAGTGAATCCCTTTCTGGACCCCTTGATAGAACTTGGGGAGGTTTTCAAGGAGGCTGCGAACTCATGCTTCGAAATTCAAGACTCAACCCTTGCCCTCAGGACAGCCAGTTGTTGCCCTCAACCGGAAGTAGATCCTAACCCCAAATCATAAGCCATATTCCCGAAAAACCTGGCGGGTTCACAAGGGACCGACGCAAAAGTATGGCCCCACCAGCAACTTGACTTGCAGCACTTAGGTCACAGCCTTTAGTGTTCAGAAATGACGCCTTTCTGCTCCCCTTGAGCAGGAACGGATTAGACCATGGACGTCATCATGGTTGGACCATGGATGCTCTCTTCTCAGAACCGATTAGACCATCTTGGTTGCTGTGCTAGCTGTTGTGAAGAAGTGCAGGGCTGGGCAGAAGCGGATGCAAGCAGAAGGCGCCTTAGTTTCGCACACGACGAAGTGTGAAGCAGTGCAGAAAACCCCACAAATACCAGTTTAGTTTACGGATGCTTAAAATCTCATGGTTATTTCAACATTTTCAACATTAAAATAATCGGGGATAAGGTATTTGCCGGAAGCAACGAAACAGTGGTATTTGCGGTGGATTCTGAAACAGATAACTCAGAACTGTGCCAAAAGCGTGGGTCCCTTATGGTCCCGCCTAGCCCTAAAACCCTAAATCCTAAGCCCTAAGCCATTTTTGAACCAGGAGGTCCCAACCCCAAACCCTAAGTCTGAAACCCTAAGCCCAGCCAAGCACTAACCCTAAATCCGAAACCCTCAGACCATAAACCCTAAATCCTAGACAGGATGGCTCTTACAACCCTCTGACAAAAAATCATGAAGATGATCCTCTTAACCCCCCACAAAGGGACAACATAAAGCATCCCCAAGACCTACCTAAACCCTAAACCCTAAAACCCCAACCCCAAACCTTAAACCCTGAACTCTGAACCTTACATCCTACACCGAAAACCCTAAACCTTAAATCCTAGACCTCTCTTGCCAAGCCTTGAAGCCGGCGCTCTCCATGGCTTTAGACCACACCGCGGCTTCCTGAGCGATCCACGGACTCGATCGTGGGGTGTTTAGGTTTCGGGTATTTAGGGTATTTAGGGTACTTAGGGTACTTAGTGTACTTCGGGTATTTAGGGTACGTATGGCATTTAGGGTATTTATGGTGTTTAGGGCCGGGGGTTCAAGCATCGAAGCAACGACAGTGAGGTTCGCCCCCGATAGGCTATCCCGGCTTAGGATTGGTTGAGGGTTTAGGGCTTAGGGTTTAGGGTCCCTACGTAGTCACCTTCCTACTGGGTTCTTAGGGGCTCGATCGGTTTCCCACCTCGACCCGAATGCTGCTTTGAGTTGATCCTTGTTGGAAATTCGGGTCTGGGGTTTATGGTACTAATTCTGTTGGGGCTTGGTGGTTCTGTTAGGGTTTAGGGTTTAGGGTTTAGGGTTTAGGGTTTAGGGTTTAATGGTACGAATTCTGCAACTGCGAGCCAGGCATCGTCCTGCTGGTGCCAGCTGGCCTCGACGATAGCTGCTGCGCCCTCCACTACCTCTGTTCAAGGGCTGGTGGGGTTTCGGGTTTAGGGGTTTAGGGTTTAGGGGGTTAGTTAGGGTTTAGGATTTAGGAGTGTAGGGTTTAGGGGATTAGGGTTTAGGGCTCAGGGGTTGGGGGTTTAGTCAGAACATCATTTTGCAGGTTGGTTGCCTGAGAACCCTCTAATATACCAAACCTACCAAAAACCTACAAAGGCAGGTGTTCCCTTTTTCTAACAGCCCTTACTGGGGAATATAATAGGGGGGTACTGTAAGGGGGAACGTCCCAACTAAGCCAAAAAAGACCGTGTTGGCCTAAGCCCTGAACCCTAAACCGGAAAGGCTTGGTGTGGGGGGGGGGGGGGGGGGGGGGGTGGGGGGGGGGGGGGGGTGGGGGGAGGGGGTGGGGGGGGGGGGGGGTGGGGGGGGGGGGGGGTGGGGGGGGGGGGTGGTGGGGGGGGTGGGTGGGTGTTGGGGGGTGGGGGGGTAGGCTGAAAAAAACGAGTCAGGGCTTGGCCGCTTGGCACCCAAACCCTATTTCCGAAACCTGGCCCTTAAACCCGAAACCCTACAAAAACCCAAAAGAGCAATGTTGGCCCTTCGATCCGGGATTCCGACACCATCCAACCCCGGTTCAGCAGAGGATCAGAATTTATCCGAAGAGCCGTTCTCCCGACGTGGCTGTCCCTCAACCGTCTGAACCTTCAACCCTAAAGCCTATAGAGCCTATACACCCTGTAACCCCTAAACCCTATAAACCCTAAACCCTATACACCCTAAACCCCAATGAACCAGTCCTCTCTGATGCTCCTGGCAGCCTGCGCATACCCTACAAGACCTCAACCCTAAACCCTAAACCCTAAACCCTAAACCCTAAACCCTAAACCCTACAAAACCTCAAGCTAAAGAGCCCTATAAGCCTCTAGGCCAGGAGCCCAAAGGGCCTGGGTGGGCATCCGATACCCCTAAACCCTAAACCCTAAACCCTAAACGGACCCCAAGTAGGTGTCTCATCCTTTATACCTACAGCTACCCTCCTTCTAAACCTACATATGAACCTCCAAGTAGGGTCTTCTCTGACTTTACTTCTCCGATAGCCAAAGGGGATAAGAGGATAAATTTCTTATTCCTACTACATATGGAAACCCAACAAGTTGAAAGTTCAATTCTTGGCCAGGTAAGTTAAAGTCTGGTTGCAATGAGCAGGCCGCGATCCTCGCGTAGGCACTTCCTCGGGACATGCTTGAGGGACTTTTCGTGAACGCCTGTGAGATGGTTTTCTGAAATTATTTGCGGAGGCATGGGGTCTCCGCAGGAATCTATATGCGTCGCCCTAAACCCTAAACCCTAAACCCTAAACCCTAAACCCTAAACCCTAACACAAGAAGATGCAGCTTTCGATCAGGATTGGCATGTCCTGACTGCGAAGTTCTGGTCGAAATACCCATGGTCTTCTTCCGGCGAACAAGGCCAGGCTTCATCCTTTGAAGCCCTCTGAAAGCAAGCATAAAGGGTTTAGGGTTTAGGGTTTAGGGTTTAGGGTTTCGGGTTTAGGGTCATAAAACAGGATCCTTCAACTCATCTTGGCCCCGAAGCCCTGAACCCGAAAGTACGAAATCTCGATCTCTCGATCGAGCGCCTACTGGACCCCAGAATACTTTAGGACTCACGAGGGCGCCCTCTTGGGTTGGCAGGGGTTTTTAAAGCCTACAAAGCTCCGTGCCTCACCAAGACTCCGTGCCTTTGCCACCATCTCGATGCGCTTCTCGGGCGTTGGCAAGCAGGACAGCACCTCGCTGGCGCCAAACCTAAAACCTAAACCCACAATCCCTAAACCCTAGACCACACGAGACTTTATAAGCAACGGACATCCAAGTGGCACGCGGCGCCCGATTGCAGTCAAGCTTCCAAGCAAATCACGACCACGTCCATAGACCCAGCCACAATTCCCTGGACGTTCAGGGAGAAAGAGCGACAAAGCGGACATGTTTTGGGCGTTGGCGTGCACCTCACTACTTCTTGTGAAGCAATTTCCGTGGGTTTGGCCTCGTTTCGGCATGATATGCATTCTGCTAGTGCGAAGAGAATATTGGAGGAGCAGGCGTTGGCACACCCTCAAGAGTGGTGGTCTGCTGACGACAAAGGGGTCTCTTTAAAATATCAGGGCCACAGGTAAGTAGAAAAGCAAGAAACCCTAAACCCTAAAGTATACTAATTGCGCAAGTGGCCTGATCATCTCTGAGGGCACTACCCTACACCCTAAACCGTTTGTTTAGGGTTTAAGGTTTAGGGTTTAGGGTTAGGGTTTAACCTAAATCCTAAACCCCGAACCCTAAACCGGGCGCAATGAGTGGTTTCGGGCTGAGTGTTTTTTCACCTTGGGTGCTGAGTTCTTTTGGGCAAAAAAGGTTGACCTTTGGGTTTCAAAGGAGTTTATACTACACATGAAAGGTTACCCACCCAGCACCTAAACCCTTTTTTGCAGCCGGACTGAGAGCGTTGCCGGAATGGGAGCCAGGGACATGAGTAGATGCACCACTCTTTCCCACCCTGAACCTAAACCCTGAAACCCTTTTGCACAGGCACCCTAAACCCTAAACCCTAAACCCGAAACCCTAAACCCTTTTTTGAGCACGGACTGGGAAACTGCCGGCAACCTGATAGCAAAGCCTTCCTGCGACCCTATACAAGCAGGGGATGCCTTCACAGGCGAGACTTAGTATACTGGTAGAAAAAGGGGCGCTGTTGCCTCAATCCTCTTGCAACGGTTTGCAAACCCTAAACCCTAAACCCTAAACCCTAAACCCTAAACCCTAAACCCTAAACCCTAAACCCTAAACCCTAAACCCTAAATCCTAACAGCTCAGAAAGAGGCCTTCAGCTTCCCCTCGTCGTCCAGGATCAAGGGCTCACTGGCATCCGGCGCCTTGCGCTTAGCTGTCTATAAGTGGGCTTCGGCTCTAGGGTTCGGGTTTAGGGTTTAGGGTTTAGGGTTTCGGGTTTCGGGTTTAGGGTTTAGGATTTAGAGTTTAGGGATAAGGGTTTAGGGTAATAGGAATTAGAGTTTAGGGTTTAGGGTTGAACTATACCGAGACACTGTGCAACTGCGTGTCGAAACGGCGGGGAAAGCTCAGTCGAAGAATGCAGCTCGCTTTCGGCCATGGGCGTGTCACAACGCGTCAAGTAACGCCCGGTTGTAGGGCTGGCCTCCCCCCCAAAAAGCCCGTGTAGATCCTAAACCCTATGAACCCTGAACCCAATAAACCCTAAACCCTCTAAACCCTAAAATCCTAAACCCAATAAGCTCAATAACCCCATATACCCTTAACCCCCAAGCCCTTTTTGAAACTGGTCTTGCGGACTCCGAGAAAAAAACACTCCTTTAACCCCGATAAAGTGCGAAAGGTGTCACCAAAGCCGGCAGCCACAAATCGGCCAGTGGCGTGCCAAACCAAGTATCTGGCGGACCACATGAACCCTGAAAGGGTCTGTGGTTCATAAACCTTAATAGGAATTAAAGTAGGACAAAGGGTATCTGACCTTGAGAACGAAATGAGCCCTAAAAAGGGTTTAGGGTTTATGGCTTATGCATCTTCACTGGAATTATATTATTACAGTACAGGGTATATGACCCCAACTTTTAAGGTTTCATTTGGTTTGGTCCCCCAGTCGTGATACAACCCAAGTGTCTACTGTAGCTGGCGATGCTTCAAGCTAGCACACCTGGATAGGCCAGCGTTTAGGGTTTATCGGGTTCAGGGTTTAGGGTTTATGGGGTTTAGGGTTTATAGGGTTTAGGGTTCAGGGTTCAGGGTTCAGGGTTTAGGGTGTCGTGCGCCCCACTATCCAACAAAGACTCGTGGCACCCTTCTAGACTTTATAAAGCCTGCAGATACAATTCCGGAGGAAAAAAAGCTTGTTCTTTGACCAACAGCTGCGTGCGCCTCGACGATGGGCACATCAAAGAAGTCGGCCTGAAAGACGCCTTGCCACAACAGGGGCTCGGATGATTTGCATTCAGTAATAGTACTTGCAACCCTACTTACAACCCTATTTATATGAGTGCCCGAAATGAACCTCCAAGAACTGGTTCCCAGAAAGGGATGAGGGAATTAGTTACCTTATAACTTATAACTTATATCCCCCCATTCTCCCCCTAGGACCCTATATAATACTTGGCTGCTCTTAGCAGGGTAGCTATAAATTTAATTTTTAGCTGCCTTCTTAAGAAACCCAACAAACCCAAAAAGGCTAAAGATGTAAAGTTACAGTAAAGCACCACAAAGAATACCTTCCTCCTACGGCTCATCTTCACATGCTCTTCCGTGATGAGCGGCTCTTGGGTCTCCGGCCATTTGTGAAGATTTGTGTGGGTGCTGCGGCTATTTTCTCGAACCCTAAACCCTAAACCCTAAACCCTAAACCCTAAACCCTAAACCCTAAACCCTAAACCCTAAACCCTAAACCCTAAACTGTATAGTTCGGTTCTGCGCGGGCCCTCAGCTAAAGGGAAGACCGTGCTCCAGTTCCAGATTTCCGTCGTCAGCTGGCCCACATCCCAAGTCTTCTGAGCCATTATACTCCCCTTAGAACCTTAATTAAAATTGAATTCTTAATATCCTCTTGGGTTTTGGTTTAACAAAAATACACAATAATTCCAAAGGGGGATACAGTGAGACCCTGGACTGCGCACAGTCAGTCCTAAGCCATGTATAAAGGCCTAAACCCGCATCAGCCCTGTGCTGAAGACCTTAGACAAAGACAAGCCTTAAAATCGATTTAGCCATACTAATCGCCGGGAGTCCGAAAATCCCTGCAAAGCCCTCCAAGCCCCCTGGAAAAAAAAAAAAAAAAACTGTAAGTCCCCCTAAACCTTTCTTTGCACCAGGGCTCTCTGTCTCTCCTAAATCCTGAACCCGAAGCCTAAACCTCAAACCCGAAACCCGAAACCCTAAACCCTAAACCTCCAACAGCCGATTCTTTCAGTGGGTCCCGAGCCTTCCGCGACCGGATTCGGCTGCAGGTCGAGGGCATAAGGCTGGGCAGGCAAGGGGGGAGATCAGAAGTCAGGGCTTGAGGGTTTAGGCTTTATAGGGTTTATAGGGTTTAGGGTTTATAGGGTTTAGGGTTTAGGCTTTAGGGTTTAGGGCTTAGGGTCTAGGGTTTAGGGTCTAGACGGTCTAGGGTCTAGGGGTTAGGGTTTGAGGTTTAGGGTTCAGGGGTTCAGTTCAGGGGGTTTAGGGGTTTAGGGTTTCGGGGCTTAGGGGTTCAGGGGCGCCTGCGACAGGCACAGGGTTTGGGGCGTTCTCGATACACGCTGGCTTCAAGTTACCACGTTGGAGTGGGAAACCTGCGGGTGCCCCACTACAAACACACGGGCTAAAGTTATGACATTTTTGCAAGCAATCCTTGTATCGTCTGAAAGTATTTATTTTTTAGGGTTCGGGATACGATCCCAAAGTACAACTACAGTTTCATATACGATCTTAAAGTAGGGTTCTGGATATGGTGCCAACTGCAACTACATGTTCATACGACCTGGTTCGGCGACCGTGCTGGAATCGTAACCGGAATCGTACTTGGAATCGTACTTGGAATTGTACCTGAAATTGTACTTCCCCTTGCAGAAGTACGATTTCAGGTACGATTTGGAATCGTACTTGGAATCGTACTTGGACTCGCGCTTGGAATCGTACCTGAAATTGTACTTTCCCTTGCAAAAGTACGATTTCAGGAGGACTCCAAGTGCGATTCCAAGTACGATTGAAATCGTACTTGGAATCGTACTTGGAATCGTACTTGGAACCGTACTTGGAATCGTACCTGAAATTTGTACTTTCCCTTGCAAAAGTACGATTCCAAGTACGATTCCAGTACTTGGAATCGTACTTGGAATCGTACTTGGACTCGCACTTGGAATCGTACCTGAAATTGTACTTTCCCTTGCAAAAGTACGATTTCAGGTAGGATTCCAAGTACGATTCCAAGTACGATTGAAATCGTACTTGGAATCGTACTTGGAATCGTACTTGGAATCGTACTTGGAATCGTACTTGGAACCGTGCTTGGAACCGTACTTGGAATCGTACCTGAAATTTGTGCTTTACCTTGCAAAAGTACGATTTCAGGTACGATTCCAAGTACGATTCCAGTACTTGGAACCGTACTTGGAATCGTACTTGGACCCGCACTTGGAATCGTACCTGAAATTGTACTTTCCCTTGCAAAAGTACGATTTCAGGTAGGATTCCAAGTACGATTCCAAGTACGATTGAAATCGTACTTGGAATCGTACTTGGAATCGTACTTGGAATCGTACTTGGAATCGTACTTGGAACCGTGCTTGGAATCGTACCTGAAATTTGTACTTTACCTTGCAAAAGTACGATTTCAGGTACGATTCCAAGTACGATTCCAGTACTTGGAATCGTACTTGGAATCGTACTTGGACTCGCACTTGGAATTGTACCTGAAATTGTACTTTCCCTTGCAAAAGTACGATTTCAGGTACGATTCCAAGCCGATTACATGTTGAAGTCATAGATGCACTTGTGCCCGACTCGATATTGTACTTCGAAACCGTTGGTATTCAGAATCGTATACGACATTGTACTTTGAAGTCGTAGTGGAATTTGCACTTGTACTCAGAATTGTATGCGGTAGTGTACTTTGAAAACGTACTGCAAACTGTACTTGTACTTTGCAAGTGTACTTGAAACCATACTTAAACCCTAAAAATAAATAATCCTTGATTTACAAGGTTTGGTTGTCCAAAAATGTCATAAGGCTAAAGGTTTAGGGTTTAGGGTTTAGGGTTTAGGGTTTAGGGAACAAAGATGGCATTGTGAACATTCCGAGGAACTGGTGGCCAGGAAGATTCTGGGAGGCCAACAACTCTCAACTTAGATCTTCCCAGCACGTGGGCTTCCATAGCTTCTTTGTGCATTTTTGCTCAGGCAACCTGCACAAATACTGTAGGTTTCGGCTGTTTACATTTGAGCCTATGGCGTGCAGCTTGGTTTTGAGCAACAACCACTTTCCTAGCATCCCCTGGCCATGCGCTGAATCCAACCAGTTGCCCTAAAACCCTGAACCACATTGGTTTAGGGTGTTTTTTGAATGTTCATGCGTACTTATAAGTAGGGTTATAAGTACCCGAAACTTATAGGTTCAGGGCATGAGGACCGTTCCCCCAGATCCCGAGCCGTCACGTAGAAGGGCCATTCGAGAAAGCTGTTGGTGTTGCTGCCGATGTCCAGCAGCCTGAGCGGCAACGACCCAGAAGCTCAACGAAACCTTCCCAGGTGAAGGCAGACGTCCCAATACTACAAGGAGAGTTTGCCATGTACTCGCCGGCCCTTCAACAACTCTGTGCCATGCTAGCACACGCGCTGCCTGACACTGAGCCCGAGCTGTTGGGGAGCATGACATCGAGCCCTACACTCCAAACACTCTCAGGGCCTCCATGAAGCTAACATTGGACCCTCGGCAGGCTGAAATGAAAACTCCACTTGGAGGTTCAGGGTACATATACCCCCAATTATAGCTGAACTTCTTTTGATCTCCAAGTCCCCTAAGTCCTCTAAGCAGGCTATAAGTAGACTAGAGAAGTAGCCAAAAACCCTAAACCCTAAACCCTAAACCCAAGGTTATAAGTACTAAGTACCCATGAACCTCCAAGCGGCCTCACGGGTGGATCCCTCGGCGCCGGAGGCTCCCGCTCCTTCTCCTCCCCTGTGCCCACAGGAGCCTGCCAGGTCGCGCTCTTTCGAGAGCCCGCGAATCCCACTTTGAGGTTCGTCGGTTGTCAATTTAAATTAATGTATATATATATATACATATGTCTATATATATATATGTATATATATATGTATATGTATATACATACATATACATATATATACATATATATATATATATATATATATATATATTTATTTATAGTCTAAACATATATATATATATATATATATATGTGTGTGTGTGTGTGTGTGTGTGTGTGTGTGTGTTGATGCTCAAATTCTATTTAACACACACACACATGTCTATAGACACGCGCTCATACATCCATGTGTATATATATATATATACACAGGTAGATAGATAAAGCATGTAACAAACTGTATTAACCACATATATATATATATATATACACACTTTTGGTTGCCCGCTCGCCGGATTTGGCTTCAAATACGGTTTAAGTATAGCAACAGCCTTGAACACTGTCCAACCCCAGCAACAGCTTACTAGGCACACCTGAATGATTGGAATTGTGTAAAACCCTAAGGCCCCAACACCCCAAAACCCAAAACCCTAAAACGAGGGCTTAATATAACCAAGGAACAAGCGAAAACGCAACAAGCCTTGGGCCAGTTACACTTGGCACCCTGCTGAGATGCAAACAGCTGGCTCGCGTCTCCATCTTCATCTTCTTCGGGTTCCAGTACCTTATGTTACTTCTCCGACAACCCAGGGAACAAAAGGCTAAGCTTTATTCTCCCCTCTAAATCCCTAAACCCGTGTTGCAGAACTGAGGCCGAAACCGCCGAACAACAGGTTCCCCCTTTCCATCTGTCTGCACTTGTGCAATCGCACAACAAGTTCCCTTAACCTTGTGCTTAAAAGGAACCGCTCTGATTGCATCGCCGATGATCAAGCACAGTTTCCTTCATCGACTTCACACAAACACCGGGGCAACTTACCCTGAACCCTAGAACCTAAACTCCAGCGACAAACGATGACGTTTTCCACCTTCAATGTCAAATGTCTGAAGCCACAGTTTTAGTTTCAGAGGTTTCGGGAAAGGGTGTATGGGTCTTGTGCGTTGGGATGATCAGGGGCGAGAAGTTAAAACCTTGTTGGCAGTTCGTGTGATTAGCATCGTCATCATCATCATCATCATCAACATCGTTACTTATGTATTTTCATGATGGCTAAGTATACTTGCAACCCAGTTTTTTCTATGGATATTGGAAGTAGCTATACTTGAAGGTTCATGAGCACTCACAAGACACTTTTTTAAATGTTATAAATACCCTAGGCAAGGTGATAGCCTATAGTTACCCTCGCTGTAACCCTACTTAGGGCCCCACTTTTCAGTTGCCCCTAAACCCAAAACCCTAAACCCTTCAACTTAGTTGCTGAGTTCATAGGCCCCAAAAAGGTATACACTTCCAGATCTATAGGAGATTATAATATCAAAAAAAGCGTAAAGTGCACTCACTTAGCTACTAAGTCAAAAGTCACTGCAGCCACAGTTGCAAGGTTCGACCCTTCACATCGTAGCGGACCCATCCTGGTGGGCGCGGCGAACTTCCATGAGCGGTATTCTTGGGAGGGCTTCAGAGGCTTGTATAACGGGTTCTGTAAAAGGGTTTTATGGAGGGTGTCATGTATAAGGCTTTGAAAGGTTTTAAGGACGGACTTTTTTTAAAGGGTTTGAGAAGGTTTCAGAGGCTTAGAAACATCCACCCCTCACCGGTGGACTGACGGTTTCAAAGCGCGCTCGCTCCCTTACATCCTAAAACCTGCAAACCCTAAACCCTACAAACCCTAAACCCTAGACCCTAAACCCTAAACCCTAAACCCTAAACCGCCCTATACTACTAGAATTCCTATGAAGGCATATGAGAAATAAACCCTGTTAGGGTTCATTTGGTCCTCAAGGAACAGGGTGGCCGGTTGGCGCTTGATGATGTCTGCGTACTGGGCCCAATGCGCGTGTCACCTGACTGTCTGACCTGGCGCCCGGCGTCGCAGTGCGCTTTGCTGAGAGTCACTATGTCGCCAACCTGCTTGGCAAGACTGTCGTACATGACGACTTGCAGAATCGCACCAAACGTTGGTGTCGAATTAGGCCAAGGGCCAAGGTCACATGCAATTGCATGCCGAAGGTGCTTTAGGGCTTCAAGTTTTTAGGCCTGCGGGAACAAAAGCCCCGCCCGCCAAAAAGGGTTTAGAGTCGAGGCTTCTGCTGGGCACACTCTATGGTCTGGTTGTACAGGGTGGGGCCCCCTAGTTATAAGTAGAGTTATAAGGGCCCTAAATTGGGTTATAAGGACCCTAAGTTAGGTTATAAGTCCCTTAACTACAGTTAGTATAGTAAGGGGGCCCCACCCTGTAGGGTTTCAGGAGTGTTCGGGCCTATTGTGCCGGGTTGGCGCGGAATGATGTGAGATTTCCTCACTTCCACGAGTGTTATTTAGACCCTTGAGGGTAGTATAGAGGTAGTAGGGAAACCCTAAGCCCTAAACCCTTCGTTGGAGTTCCCCGAATGCCGCTGTCTGGAGTGACCGAAGATAAGAAGGTCTTGAGGGCTAAACCCTAAACCCTAAACCCTAAACCCTAAACCCTAAACCTGCTTAAGCTTCAGGGCATGCCGGAAGTCTCCTACCTGGCTTTTTGGGGTTTGAGAGTGCCTGTAGGCTATAGCCTTCGTAACTCCCATGAAAACTTGAGGGAAGATGCCCCTTAGTCCTGCGAAAAGCCGGGTTTTGGGTTCAGAGTTTAGGGTTTCGGGATTAGGGTTTAGGGGATTGGCCGGAAGCCGTCTTCCCTGGAACCCTGGAAGCTGCAAGCAGAAGCAGGAGGACCCAGAACCCTAGGGAAAGAGCCGTACCAAAAGGCGGCTCCCATGTCCAAGCCTAAATACCCAAGTCCTCGTGCACAAGCGCATTCTACTACGCCCTACATAGGAGCCAGAACTCCAACACCCTCTAAGTTTTAGAATGCAAAGCCGCTGGTTAAGCTACTAAGCCCCCCCAAGCATGACCAAGCTTCTAAACCCTAAAACCCTAAACCCTCAACCCTAAACCCTAAGCCCTAAGCCCTAAACCCTAAACCCTAAACACTAAACCCCCTGAACCCTGAACCCTGAACCCTGAACCCTAAACCTTAAACCCTAAACCCTAAACCCTAAACCCTAAACCCTAAACCCTAAACCCTAGCCCAAGAAAATCCCCACCTTGTGGGGAGAACCTCTGGGACCGGCGGAACGCCCAGATTGGGTGGCCCCGGCGCATCTGCGGGGCGGAGGGGCGAGGGTTTGGGGTTTAGGGTTTAGGGTTTAGGGTTTGGGGGGGGGGGGGTAGAGAGTTGGAGGGGTTAGGGCTCATGTTCAGGGTTTTGGGGGTCGGGGCTTAAGGTTTAGGGGGTTAGGGTTAGGGGGCTCACGGGTTCCAGGGTTTTGCTTAGGGTTTAGGGATAGGTTAGGGTTTTTAGGGTTCAGGGCTTTAGGGTTTAGGGCTTATATCAGGTTAGAGAGATTCGGGTTTAGGGATAGGGTTTAGGGTTTAGGGTTTAGGGTTTAGGGTTTAGGGTTTAGGGTTTAGGGTTTAGGGTTTAGGGTTTAGGGTTTAGGGTTTAGGGTTTAGGGTTTAGGGTTTAGGGTTTAGGGCTTAGGGCTTAGGGTTTAGGGTTCAGGGCTACAGGGTTAGGATTTAGGGCTCCGGGCTGAGGAACTCCAGGATGTTCCGGGATCTTCTATGCGAGAGGGCCCGAAGGGTTCAGGGTTCAGGGTTCAGGGTTCAGGGTTCAGGGTTCAGGGTTCAGGAGGAAAGGGTTCAGTGTTCAGGGTTCAGGGTTCAGGGTTCAGGGTTCAGGGTTCAGGGTTCAGGGTTCAGGGTTCAGGGTTCAGGGTTCAGGGTTTAGGGTTTAGGGTTTAGGGTTTGGGCTTCATGGCCGGAAGAGGTGAAGAGACTTTCACCTCCCAAACCCTAAACCCCACACCCCAAAACTGCAAACCCTGAAGCCGACTTGGTCGTTCATGGGTACTTGCAACCCCAAATGATGCGTCTACTTCTAACCTACTTAGGAGGACTTGGGGGAGGGGGCTTACAAGTAGAGATGTAACTGGGGTTTTACTTACTGGCCCAAAACCCAAGGAAATAAAAGTTGAAACTTTCAGCATAAACTACCTTATAAGAAGCCCAAAAGTTGAAAAGTTGGGTTTTCAGCCAGTAAGTTTAACCTCCATGTATACCCTGAACCCTAAACCCTAAACCCTAAACCCTAACCCTAAACCCTAAACCCTAAACCCTAAACCCTAAACCCTAAACCCTAAACCCTAAACCCTAAACCCTAAACCCTAAACCCTAAACCCTAAACCCTAAACCCAAAACAACTTGCTTGGAACAAAGGGGGAGGTGAAGTTCTAGATTGGACCAAGGAGTTCACGGATCGGGTCTCCCAGTTTTGGGGCCTTCTTGGGCATTATGGCTTGGGGTTTAGGGTTTAGGTTTTGGGGTTTGTTTAATTCAGGTCTGGGCTTCATAATTAAGGTTTAGGGATTTTTGTCACCCGCATATAGCGCCTGTAGAGGTTAGGGTTTGGGGGGTTTAGGGACTACGAAAGGGTGTCCCTCCTGCCGGGGCAAAAAGGTTTCCCGGCAGTCAGCTTGGAGAAGGTTTCCACAATTCCTACAGGGAGACTTCTCTAAATTAGGGTCCCTTTTGAGGCTACTATTAACCCTAAACCCTAAACCCTAAATACCCTAATTCTGGGTTCCCAAAAAAGGAACCAGAATTTAGCGAACTCACCACATGGGGATCCAAGTACGACTTCGAGGAAGAACCCTAAAACCTAAAACTTGGGATTAGGGTTTAGGGTGTGCCCCCTGATGCGAACAGGCCTTAAACGGGATTCTAGTACCCCCCTACTAGAATCCCTATTCTGGAGCTGTCAGTATGAGGGGGAACTAAACCCTAAATCCTAAACCCTAAACCTCAGGTGGGCTGTTAGGAGCTCTTTGGGCGTCCTGCTCGCCCGACAGCAAGAAGTACTGGTCGATGTATGAGATGACTCGCTCTTTGGCAGCGCGAATCCACCACCTTGCCGCCGTGCCAACCCTGAACCCCAACAAGGGTAATGGGTTTAGGGTTTAGGGTGCAGGGTTTAGGGTTGTAAGGGTTTAGGGTTGCTAGGGTTGAGAGGTGTCGCGGGCCCCCACTGTCCAACAAACACTCGTAAAGCCTATCAGGCCTATTATCATTACACCCTAAACCCTAAACCCGAAACCCAAAACGTGCCCGCTGCTTGCAGGCAAAGAGTCTGACCGGCCATGTAGGCGGCCTGGTCGCTGTACTCCTGGCAGGTGTTTAGGGTTTTTAGGGTAAACCCCAGGGCGACTGAATGGTCGAGGCGCCTCTTCATCCTTCATTTGAGGCCCTTCCATGGACTTGTTTCTACGTTCTATTCTGGCTCAAATAAGGCCAAGGAACCCCTCCGGTTTAGGGTTTAGGGTTTAGGGTTTAGGGTTTAGGGTTTAGGGTTCCCCTTCGAAAAAACAGAACTCTGGGAGTCGCCTCATCGCGCACTACTACGACTGCCTCATTCCACTGCACACTCGGAGAACGCACAAAGAGGCGCCCACAACACTTCATCCTTCTGTCAGAAGAATCCAAAGATGTGGGGGTTGATCTAAGAGTTTTAGGGTTTCTTCATAGAGTTTTAGGGTTCCTATCTTGAGTTTTAGGCTTCCTTTCTAGAGCTTTAGGGTTCCTTTTTAGAGTTTGAGGGTTCCTTTATAGAGTTTTAGGGTTCCTTTATAGAGTTTTCGGGCTCCTTGATAGAGTTTTCGGGCTCCTTTCTAGAGTCTTAGGGTTCCAACCCCCAACCCTAAACCCTAAACCCTTTTTTTTGCAACGGGCTTCGATACCTCGCCCGGCCAGGCTCTAAACCCTAAACCCTAAACCCATCAACGCCAATGCGGCACCTGGACGTCCACGGCCTGGCCGTCGCGGAGTGCTGCGTGATGTTCAGCAATGCCTGGATCAAATGTGGGTGGGCCGGGATTTAGGGTTTAGGGTTTAGGGGTTTAGGGATTTAGGGTTTAGGGATTTAGGGTTTAGCAGGGTGGCCTTTGGCCCAAAAACGAAGAAAAGGCCTTAGAGCCTTAGGGATGGGGTTACGGTTTCAGCTGGGTTGGGGTATGTTTTGCCATTCTAGCGGCATGCAAGCTTCTGGTGTTTAGGGTTTCGGGACCCAATCCTCAACCCTAACCCCACACCCTGAAGCCTAAACCCTGAACCCCAAACCCTAAACCCTGAACCGCAACCCTAAACCATAAACCCTAAACCCCAAACCCTCGCAGGTTGGCCAAACACTCTTGGCTGATTTCTGAACCCCTCCTGAAAGTTTAACCTTTAGCCGCCTTCTTGTAGTTTCTACAAAAACCCAAAAAGGTTCGTCCCGGTTTAGGGTTTAGGGTTTATATTAGGGGGTTAGTCCTAAGAGCCAGCCAGAAGAAAGCCAAACATGAGGAGCCTTTGAACATCTTCGTGTGCTTGGCTGATCGCG